ACTATCTTTATGAACTTCTGTGTTGTCTGCTTGTTTAAAAGTCGCTCAAGTCTTTTTTCTACTTTTAGCATCATGAGTTCCTTTATTAGTATTTTTTTATTTGTGATTTCTTTAACTTCTGTTTCTCCAAATAATGCTTTATATAGGACTTGTGGTAGGATTCTGTTTTTTTTCTCTTTCTTGAGTCCATTCTATACTGTTGCTATTGCAATTTTTTGATGTCTGCTACAACTTGCTAAATGTGCCTAAGTCTCTTTTTTTCCAACTTGGCATACTTGGCACTCTGCTGTTATATATAATTCTAAACTTTTTCTGTTTAGCTTTTTAAGTATTAGTAGGCTATCTATTATGCACTTGATTGTCATAGCTCTTCTTGTACTAAGTTTTCTTGACATACAGTGAACTTCTTTTGTTCTGTTCATTTCTTTTTAAAAGCTTAATCAATTATATAATATGTTTTCTGTTTTTGGTTCTAATGTTTATATTGAGTTTGTTTCTTTTTAGCTGACTTCTATTCTGATATTTGCTATTGTTTTGCATAAAAGTCTTGTTGATATGTTAATTTTCTTGTTTTCCTACTCTAAATAGTACTCTATCTCATCACATTTGACTTTATCTGCATATATTTTATCTTAGCAATTTGCTTCTTTTTTTGCAAGAAAGTTTGTTCTATTATTTTACTTATTATTATTATAATTTTTAACTTTGATTATTTCTATCTTAATGTTCTTGCTCTTGATTAGACCTACAATGTTCATTATCTATATTGTATTTTTTCTCTTCAGGATTCTTTTTTCTTTTATCTCTTGAAGTGCTTTATTAATATTTCTTAATGCTGCAATACTGTCTGTAAACATTTCTATGCTTTTTTCTTCTGGTATTGTTAGAATTGCTGTTTATATTGCTGCTAATTCTGCTATTATTGCTGAAGGCCAACTTTCAAGTCCCAATGCAGTTTTTTTTTTTGGCCAATCTTTTTTCTCTTCTACTTATATCTAACCAATACTTATTCTTTCTGCATTGTTTTTTCTTTTTCTTGTATAATACTTTATTAGTATAAAAACTGTATTTCTTTTTGTTTCTTTTCTTGTTTCATATTAATATTTCTATTAACTGATTTGTAATCATGCTATTTGATTCTTGTTTTCTAATTAGTTCTATTTCTAATTCATCTGTTTGTCTTATTTCTAGTAACTTTATTTTATTCCTTTTTTATTTTTCTATTATTTTATCTTTTAGTATCTGTTCTAATATTGTATTTATTTTATTATTAGCTTTCTCTATTAGCAACTCTGATATTACTCTTATATTGTGGTCTCATTTTATTCATCTTTTACACTTGTCTGTTATTTGTTCTGAGCTGCTTTTACAACCTTTGCATATACTTAATTCTGTCAATGTTTATTCTTTTTTTATATGCATTAACCAATGCTCTGCTAACACTTTTTTTTTTTTTTTTGTTTTAGTCTGTAAATAATCTATTTTTTTTCAGTCTTTAAACATCTTTGTCTATTTAATATTTAATGCTTGTATATTGTACTTTCTTATTTTGTAGTGATCTTGTATTTCTCTGCTCATTTGTGTTCTCAGCATCTTTTTTTCTATTTTGCTAAACTATTTAGCCTTCTTTCCTTTGCATAACAGGCCTTGAAGACTTTTGAGCTGTCTCCATGTTATTAAATTATCACCTTTTATATTTATAAGTTGGTTCAGATATAATAACCCTTATTCATTTATTGTGCTACTGCTTGCTATTCATGTTTTTGTTTCCAACATGTCTTTTATCTGTTTATTATATTCATAAATTTTTATAAGGATTTTTTTGCTATTATTTAACAGACTAGATTGTTCTTCCAAAACTTCTTAACTTCTATTTTTCTTTTATTGTTTCAAATATCTTCTGTTAAGCCTGTTTTTTGGCATCCTTGAGTTATTCTAAGTCTTGTTAATATGTTCAAACTATCCTGTCTATTGAGTCTTAAGAAGAGACTACTTATTTGCTTAATTATTATCTCTTGGCTTAGTGTTTTGCAATTAGCTAAGTCTTTGTGCTCAATTGTGCAATTGTTTAATGTTCTCATTATATTGCACTTATGTTTAGCTAAGCAGATTAATGGTTGATGTATTTTATCAATTATCTTTTTGGACATTTTTGTTAGTTATAAGAGATATCCTAGCTTAGGAATTATTACTGTATTGTTTATATATGCAATTTGGCTTATTGTTATCTTTTTGTATCTCAGATCTTTAACTGTTTGACTAACTATTTTTTTTGCTTTCTTCCAGACTAATGCTTTTCTTATTTTGCTATTTAGCCATATTTCTAATAACTTTACAATTTTGTTTTTGGGTTTTTTTATTATTTTACTGTGACTGAATATAATTTCTTTTTCTTTCTCTTTTGTTCTTATGTTTATTACTTTGAGCTTTGATTTGGATCTATTTATTTCAATGTCATTTGCTTTAAAAAACTCTTTTGCAATGCTTAGAATTCTTAAAATTTGTTTTTTACTGTTTGCAATTCATGTTGTGTCATCAGCATATGCAATTGCTGCTTGTCTATAATTTGTAACATTATTACTGCATGCTCTTTTTATAATTTTTTGTTCCACTATATAGCCTAATGTTTCATTTTTTTGTATCTTTTCTAATAGTAGATTATAAGAAATAAGCCAAATTAGTAGTAAGATTACCTCTTCTTAGTTTATTTTATCTTCTGCTATTATTTCTTCTGTTAAACCATAAGCTGTAATAATTTTAAGTTGCCATTTACAAAACAGATTGCTTATGTATTTTCTTGTTTTTTTTTAGAATTTTGACTTTTTTTAAAGCCTATTCTAGGCTTTTTAATAGAACTGAGTCAAATGCCTTTTTCATATCTTGTAACAATATCCATATTTCTTCATTCTTTTCTTGTGCTTTCTTTATTATTATGTTTAATATATGTATCAGTTGCTCTGTTAAGTTATCTGGCAGACCTGTAAAATTTGGTTCTCGGAGTATGTTTCTTTCTGTAAACACTCTGGCTAATCTTTTTATTATTACTTTTATGATGACTTTTTTAAAGATCTTGATCAATACTATTGGCCTAATATTGTTTAAGCAATAACTCCAGTCTACATCTTTTGAGATTGAATATATTTGCACAATTTTCTACTTCTTTGATATGTCTTCTTTTTCTAGAATCAGATTTACAAAAGCTTTAAAAATCTTTTATGATTTTTTTTTTTTGCATGTTTTATTAATGTATAGCTTATGTCTGATATTCCTAAGACTGTATTCACTTTAAGCTCTCTAAGTATTTCTTCTCATTTTTTTTTTTCTATTCTTTCTTCTAATTCCTTATACTAGACCTTATTGATTTAATCTTTTGAGTTATATACTTCTTTTTATTCTTCTGCTATTTCTTTAAGTTTGGTTTTCTATTTTGTAAATTGGTCTTTAAAATAAGCTGCCAAATTATTTAGAATTGCATTTGGTTCTAATATTAGGACAACTTTTTCTTTGTCTTTATTATAAATTTGTCTAAAATAATCTTTTTGTATAGTTTATTTAGTAAGCTAACAATCATTCGACCTTGATCTGTTTTAATCATTTCATATCTTCTGTTTATGTTTTCTTCTATCTGTTTTCTTTGTGCTTATTCTTATTCCTCTTTTCTTTTCTCTTTAATTATTTTTGGATCTCCTTTAGTATAGATGGGCATATATAAATTATTACAAAATTATAATATATAAAACCCATCTAATTTAGGCCAATTTATATTATAACTCTAACCCTAACCCCAACTATTTGTAAATTTACTTAAATTGATTCAAAATAGTTAATTTATATATATATTATAATTAAATAATAAACATATTTGCCCACCTATACTAAAGATCAACCGTTGATTTTCCACATCTCAACTTGGCAGACAAGCTTGTGCCTTGTTTAGTAATTGATGCATAACTTTGAGTAACCTTGTGTGCTGATTGCTTATTAGAGATATTGTTGTTGTCACATTCTGCATCTAACACATGACTGTTTTTGTTGTTGTTTTCTTTTTCATTGTTTGTTTCCTTCATAGTATTGTATGTGTTTTCTAGAGCACAAGGGTTGTTTTCATTTTGGTTAATATTCTTTAGCCAGTCTTCTTGTTTTGGATCACTACTACTGGGACTAAATCATTTTCTATTGCTGCCATCTCTTCTTGAGCTATTGTATTATTAAGTTTTGGTTCGTTTTCTTTTTCTGTAAAAGAGTTGTTAGTTTCTTTCTTTTTTCCTAAATCAAGTTTTTTTATTTTAAAGATTTTTTCAGTTGCTAGAAGCTTCACTAGTTGAGGAAGCTTTTTTTTTCTTGAAACAAAGGCTTTAGCCCTTAATAGTATCTTATTTTTAGAGTTTAGGTTTCTGTTTAATGATTTTATAATTGCAATTTTCTATTTGTCTTTCCTGATCAGTGATGAACAGAGAAGAGTTTTTTTTTTTGGTTAGTATTTATTTTACACATCCTGAGATTAGAAAAACACTTATTAAATTAATTAACAATTGTTTTGAATATACCCAATCCTTTACCTAATATGCTGAGCCTACAAAATCAAAATAACTATATTATTTCTAATTCAACTGATACTGAACATAATTCTTCTTCTGAGAGTGAATCTGAACCACAAACAAATACAATGGCTCAAAATAACTAACTTATTAACTTTCTCCAAGCCTTAAGCCAACAACTTAAAATTCGAAATAATGTTCCAATAACTACCTTCTTAGGTGGAATTCAAGACCCAGTAGAATGGTTAGAAGAGTTTGAAAGTTGTGCTACTATCAACCAGTATACTGATATTTATAAGCTTGAAGTAGTAGAAGGATATTTACAAAATGAAGCTTGTGTGTGGTTTATCTAAACTGCAAATCTTAGAGAGATAATAACAATCAAAATTTTAAACAAATGTTTTTGAACAAGTTTTGTACCTAACAAAACTTTTACAATAGAGAAGTGAATTACAAAATTGAATGCAAGGACCAAATGAAACTGTTAACCAATATGCTTTGGATATCAAATGCCTTATTAAAAGAGTATATTATTTGAACAACTGGGCTGAATCTGATAAAATTTACAACTTTACTAAAGGTCTTCATTGTGAAATTTCCTATCAGTTAAGACCCTACTTAACTTTTAGGAACAATGTAACTCTTGAACAAACTATTGAAGCAGCAAGGCAAATGAAAGAAAATAATAATGCATATCCTGAAGCTCTTCTAGGATTTTATTCTTCCAATATAAATTCTGCTCCTATAGTAATAAATTACAATCAGTTTGTCTACAATCATACTACTCCAAATGATAATAATAACCTAACTCAGTTATTGGAACCTTAATACAAACAATTGAAAACCTTAACCTTAACATGAACAATAATAACTTTAATTGAAGAACAACTCAAATCACCAACAGCAACCTAATAATGTTATTTTTTATAAATGCAAACAAACTAAACATATTTCTTGAATTGTCCAACTAACAATATGCCAACTGCTCAAAACCAGCAAATTCCAAACCAGAATCAAAATAATGCACCAAATATGATGGCTCTTCTTAATATGTTGAATCAACAAATGCCTAACTAGCCTATACAACAACCAGTGAATCAATCAACAAACCCATCTATCTAATCTGCAGTATATTCAAATAATAATCCATTTTTGGTTTCAAACACTACTCCTTCAGTAACTCAACCACTTCCTCAGACATCTTAGCAGCCAGAAAACTATTCAACTTTCTACTGCAATTGATCAAAATATTGGCCTAAACCAACCTTAGCAAAATGTATTTCCAAATGAGTATTTAAATGAGAATATGCACCTCTATGGGGTGAAAGTGTATCAAATATAGAAAAGCTTTCATTTGTGGTAAATGACCCATTGTCCCAACTTTATGATAACTCATCCAAAAGGCAGAGAGGTAAAGTAGATGATATGAATGTTAATTGAAATTTAATTAATATGAACAATTCTCATAATCAAGAAAAGAAAAAAGAAGCTGTAAACCAAAAAATTGATCTAAAAAAAAAAGAAAAAGACCACTGCTTAGTGAAAAACCTCTGATTGAACAGAGAACAGTACCTTATTTTCTGGTAGATGATCTTCTATGTTTAAAAACCAATATAACTGTTGCCTAACTTTTGAAAGTTCCCTAATATTGTAATGAACTCAGAAAAGCCTTAGCTCCAAAACAAACTCCAAAACAGAAAAAACAAGAAGAAAAACAAGCAACCCTTGGTAAAGAAGAACCTAAAAACACACCTATGATCTGTAAAGGACAAGTTGCAGAATGGACAATTGACATCATTATTGATTCTGGTTCTTCAACAAGCATTATTTCTAAATGAATTATAGAATTTCTCAACTGAAAACCTGACTAGATGTCTAACTGAATAATTACAGGGATCCATAGGAATAAGAAATCTAGTGAAGGAATTATCAATGACATCCCTGTGCATTTGGGTGATATAGTAATAGCAGTGAATATGAAAGTAATTAATACAAATATCTATACTTTAGTATTAGAAAATGACTGGCTTAGAAAAGCCAAAGCAGTCATTGATTATAATCAATCAAAAATAAAAATAAGTGATAGTAATAGAATAGTAGAAATTCCTTGCAAAAATACTACTCAAACATCTATAGAAGCAGAAGAAGATTCAGAAAAAAATAAAAGTAATAATAAGGACCTACTTGAAATTAGTCTTGTTGTTTCAAAGAAAGAAAGTCCTGATCAACACTACTACAAAAGAAATTCAAATTGATTCTGAAACCTTCTTTCGAGAAGAATACTATCAGTATGAACAAAAATTTAACTCTTGGCTAAGAAAACAAAGTTATCAAAAACTCAAAAACTGATATCAAGGTCCTCAAAGAAAATGCTGGTATAAAACATTATAAAGCCTAAAAAACTTTTCAAATAATTCCTATACATGAAATTAAAAATGCACAATCCTTCTTAGTTCAAGGTGGATTAGAGGAATTAGAAACAAATAAAAACAAAGTCCATATCCAAAAATTCTTAGCAAATACCCACAAATTGTTGCAAAGAATATTGATCAATTAAGATGAATTGAAGTAGTTAAACATTAAATAAACACTGAAAATGCCACACCTATTAAATAGCATTCTTATCATTTATCCCCCAAGCATCAAGTTTTTATAAAAGAAGAAATAGAACATCTACTAAAACAAGGATTAATCAAACCATCTTACAGTCCTTGGGCATCTCCTGCTCTTGTAGTTGGGAAGACAAATGAAAAGTCTCATCTTGTAATTGATTACCAGCAATTGAATAAAGTTACCAAACTAGATGCCTATCCTCTTCTAAGAATTGCTGACATGCTGAATACATTAGCCCATTGCCAATATTTCTCTACTCTTGATCTGACCTCTGGAGTTTGGCAAATTAGTATGGATCCAAAAGATCATTTAGTACAAAATTTGGTACATATGAATTTACTGTAATGTCATTTGGTCTTATGAATGCTTCTGCTACCTTCCAACACCTAATGGATAAAGTATTCTATGAAGTTGCTTGGAAATTTGTCCTGGTTTATATGAATGATATTATCATCTATTCAAAAACATATGAGAAGCATAGTAATCATTTTAAAAAGGTTTTTCAATTACTTTTCAATGCTGGTTTGAAGCTGAACCCTAAAAAACATGATTTCTTTAAACAACAAATATTATTCTTGGAACATCTTGTATCAAAAGAAGGAATCCAATCCAATCCAGTTTTTGTTGAAAAAATTAAAAATCAAAAACCCTCCAAAACCAAAAAAGAAGTTAGGTTATTCTTAGAACTTGCTTCATATTACAGAAGGTTTATTAGAAGTTTCTCTCAAATTGCTAAATTATTATTTGATTTAACCAAACAAGATATAAAGTTCTGCTGGACAGAGGAGTGCCAAAAGGCTTTTGAATATCTTAAATAATGCCTTATCTCCAAACCTATTGTTGTATATTCAGATTTTTCAAAACCATTCCTATTACATACTGATGCCTCTGAATTTGCCATTGGATCTGTATTAGCTCAAAAGAATAATAAAAATAAAGAACATGTTATTGCTTATGCCAGTCAAGTCTTAAATTCTGCTAAACAAAACTATACTGTTACTGAAAAAGAATGCCTTGCCATTATTTGGGCCACCAAATACTTTCATCATTTTCTTCAAGAACAACAATTCAGTATTATTACTGATCATGAAGTTATATCTTGATTAAAAAGACATAAAACTTCCAAAGGATGCCTAGCAAAATGGATTATACACTTGTCTAAATATGAACCATATAATATTATTAAGAGAAAAGGAAAGAACTATACTAATGCTGATGCACTTTCTAGATTAGAGGACAATACCCTATCTAATTTTCTATCCATTACTTATTAAACCCTAAACTAACCAGAAAAGTTTATCTAGATTATAATGGATCTAGAATTGTACCAGCATTTATTAGATTACCTTTCCTTTTATAAAATTCCATCTACCTTTATATTACAACAAAAACAGTCCTTAGTTTGACAAGCAATACACTACTTTGAAAAAATGACATCCTTTTCAAGAAAAATAAAAAGAATCCTGATCAATATTTACAAGTAATTACTCTGCCAGACAGAGATAAAGTATTATATAATTTACATTCATCTCCTCTTAGTGGACATTTTAATATAAAGAAAACAATTGCTAAAGCAATAGAACATTATTACTGGCCTACTATGGAAAGAGACATTAAAAACTATATTGAAACTTGTAATGTTTGTCAAAAATCAGTTGGTAAACCAGGAAGATTCAAAATGACCAAACCAATAAAGGCTACATCTTCTTTTGTTCATATTGACATAGATTTTATTGAACCTTTAGAAATTACTTTACAAGAAAATCAATAAATAATTGTTGCAACAGATTATTTTACCAAGTGACCTGAAGCCAAAGCAGTACCAGCAGCAACTACTAAGAAAACAGCCAAGTTCTTATATGAAAACATAATTTGCCAACATGGAGTTCCTACAATTATTCAGTCAGATAGAGGTTCTTCTTTTATAAATTATATAATATCTTTATTAAAAGAGAAAATAGGCTTTCACCATCATTTATCTGCTCCTTACCATCCCCAAACAAATGAATTAGTAGAAAGATTTTTTTTTACAGATTTATAAAGATGATTTGATGAATTTAGAATAGTATCTATTTTTTTGTCTTTGGTAGGTAGTTTTCTTATTACCAAAGCTCGTAGTAAGCTAATTTCATGTTTTATTTTAAGGTTTATTATGTTTGTGATTGTTTCTATAGGTATAGTCTTGTCTTCCCATCTGGCCTGTAAATAGCAGTTATGTGAATCCAGATAGCTGTTTTTCTTTTGTGGATTGATGTTATGCTGGTAGCCTGAAAAATGTTTTCTATTGTGAATGGAATTGGCTCAGCTGCATGCTTAAGAAATTTGTAAGCTGCTTCCCAAATTGTCTTGCTCAAAGGGCATTTTAAGGCAAAGTGTTCAAGTGTTTGGGTGGTGTATATACAATTGGAACAGTTTCCAAGGTTATTCTGGCTGATATGTAGAAGTTGATAGCCAAGAGGCAAAGCTTGATGGGCCAGACACCACATTATATCCTTTTTCTTGTTAAGGATTTCTTTAGTATGTAGCCATTCATATTTTGTATTAAGGTCCAGTGAGGCATTTAGCTTTTTAGAGCTTTCCCTACCTTGTATTGGTTATCAGGTGTTTCTCCTATCTTGATGTCCATTAGTGACCATGGCCAAGAACTGCTTGCATCGATTTTGCCCTTAAATCTTTTTCATGCATTGAGGTAAGGCTTCCATAGATCTATCTAGCCTTTAGTCTTGAGTAGGGTTTGTGCTAATGCTTCTGTAACTGAAATATTTCTTTTAGTATAAAGTTCAGATTTGATGGTATCTCTTTCTATAATGGCCCAAAAAGTTTTGCTTAACAGCAGTTTTAGCTATATTGAAAGTAATCTGACATCTAGCATGTTCTTTAGGTTAGGGGCAGTTAGCTCACCTTGCTCATATCTGAGCTAAAAAACTAAGTATTGTAGTAACATTCTGGAGTTGTTTTTAATCCAAGTTATTAGTAGTTGGTTGATCTCATTTAGCTGTCTTCTGGTTGAAGGAAGAAGATATGCTAGTACCAGATTTTTAAGATTAGTAGAGTTTTGGCTGCTAGGATTTTCTTTTTAAATGAGAGGTTCCTTTGTGATAGCTCTTGGATTTTAGTTTTAATTTTCTTTATAAGACTATTCCATATTGTTCTTTCTGAGTTTCCTTTTATATCAATACTATAGCCTAGTATTGTTATCAGGCTTTGTTCATTTTCAAGCATCTTAAAGTCTGCTTGCCCAGTAAGTTCTATTCTTTTGGCATTGGTTGTAATAGAAATTAGAATTGACATGGCTTTGTTTATTTTAGCATTAGAGGCATTCTCATAATAGAGCAAAATTTCAAGTGCTTTTGTCCAGTCTGATGGGGATCCAATTTCCAGTAATCTATCATCTGCATATGCTGTAATTCTAAATCTAGTGTTGTTAACTAGAATTTCTTTGATGTTTTCATTAATAGTGCTAATGAGGAGGTTAATAGCTAAGACATAGAGCAGTGGTGATAGTGGATTACCTTGTCTGACTTCTTTTTCTACTCTGAATAGTTCTGAAACATAGTCCAAGTCAACTATATGAGCATTTTGGCTAGTGAAAAGTGAGTTTATCACCTTTATGAACTTGTGTCCAAAGTTTATTTTGTTAAATGTAATCTGTATGAATTGGTGACTGACTTTGTCAAAAGCCTTTTGTTGGTCAAATAGTAATAGCCAGTGCTGTTTTGATTGGTCTTTCTGATTTCTTAACATTACAAGTACATAAGTACAGCATCTGTTATAGCCCTGTTGGCAATAAAGGCCTGTTGGGCTGATCCAATGATGCTATCACATATGGGGTTAATTTGGTTTGCAATAAGTTTCATAAAGATTTTGGCATCAGTGTTCACTAGTAATATTGGTCTCCAGTTGTTTATATTAGTTAGTTTATTTGACTTTTTGGAAATTAATGTGATAAGGTTTTTGCTCCAAGAGATTGGAATTTGGCCTGTTTCTAGCACTTGATTAAACAGTTTAGTAAGTATAGGAAGAATTGTTTCTTTAGTACCTTTATAAAATTCATATGTTAGGCCATCAGATCCTAGAGCTTTGTTATTTGGAAGCTTGGCTAATTTCTTCTTTTGTTATTTGTTTTTCTAGGAGTTCATTCTGTTGTGATGTGACTTTCAATAGATTGTTTGTAATATGTTCTGCAGCTTTTTCATCTATGTCTTTGCTTTTGTATATTTTTTGATAGGTCTCCTTAATGTAATTTATAGTATGCTCTTGTAAGACTCTAGTCAGATTGTTTAGGTCTTTGACCTTAGTACTGTATAATAAATAAAAGTATTTAGTTGACTTTTTTCCATCTTTGACCCATTTTGCATTGAACCTTACACACCATTTGTCTAACATTGTGGCTAACTCTTCCTGAAGTTCAATTTTTTAAGACCTTCTATGATGAGATTGAGCTCTTCTAAATTAGGGTTTTTTGCTATCTTTTGTATTCTTTTTTCTAGTGAAGATCGAGATTTGAATGATCTTATCATAGACTGTATAAAACATTTATGCAGATCCCAGTTTTCAGTGTTAAATATAATTCAAGAAATATGCAATATCCAAAATTTAAGTTCAGGAATGTTCCAGACTTTTCTGTCAAATCTCCATATTGGATTGCTGTTATGTTTAGGCTTTAAGCTAGGTCTGCATTCAACAAGAAGGTGGTCAGAGTTTCCAAAATGTGTTGAGGCCTCTTTACAAAGATGGCTATAGTTTTCTTCAATATAAATATAGTTAAGTCTGGTTGCAAAAAACTCTCTTCTGTTCTTTATTTTTTTATAAATAAAGAATAACTGATATACAAAATAATCAAAAAATCATATAACACATTTACAAAAAAAGTAGCAAGGGCTAAAACCCTTGTACCCAGAAAATGAAAGCAAGCTTGCTTAGCCATGTCAAGTATTCCAGTTA